GATGGACGAGAGACAGATCATTCCAACAGGCTCCGCTTCCCTTCCTCTGTTTGTTTTCTCCCATAATAGTTTATTGAAGAGATGTATTTTGCCCCAAGCATCTTTATTTGAAGGTTTCCAGGCAGCTCTAATGAGAATTGGGGTGGTACAGCAGGAGGCTGGCAGGAGCCCTCCCGCCCCGCAGTCGGGGGGAGAGTGGGTGGGCAGGGGGAGCGCTGGACCCCGGGCACCCGTGGGAGACTTGGGGCTTAACTGACCTGCTCGCAGCCTCCCGGGAGAGCTGTGCTGCATCTGGGGTGGGATCCACCTCCCCCCTGCTCCAGCCCCTCAGCCAGGCTCCCGTGGGAGCTGTGGGCATCGCGCTGGCTCCAAGTGTGTCCCTGGGGAAGGTGGGACGTGCCCCCAGCAGTGCCTTAGCACGTGTGAGGACGAGGGCAGATGAAATGCAGGTAACACCAGGCCAGTTTGGGAACCACAGAAACGAGGAGCTCTGTGGCACAGCTGTGGCCGGGAGGCAGCGTAGGCTCCCTCCCCACCCCCAATATTAGGGCTCCCCCCCAGCAAGGACTCAATTCACTCGGGGAGGCCGCCCGTTTCCGCAGTGATGAGCTCCAGCCCAGCTGTACAAAGCTGTGCGCGGCAGCGAGCGCGCTGCCCGGATTCATTACAGCCTTTATGTAAGCAGGGGCTGGCCGGGGGGGGCGGTTCACATATTTGCACAAACAATAAGTACCGTCCTCCTTGTCTTGGCAAACAAGAGCTCCAAGAGGCTTCCACATCCTCCATCTCTTCAAGTGATGGCTGCTTTGTTTCCCCACGATAATTTCATTATTCTGTTTGAATACATTTATATGTTGCTAAGCCACACATAGCAACATGGATCTTGTCTCCACCGCCCAGCCTTTCTGTGATCAATATTGAGTAATTCTGCAACTCTCGTCATACCGCGTTAAATAAGATTGGTTTTGAAATAATAAGGAAATTGTGGATCTTTGGGATTCAAAGCCAGGACAACACCTGAGTGCCGTGGGCACTTGGAGAAACGCAGACCCCCCTGATGCTGACCCCTGTGGTGGGATCACCGCTGCTGCCTGTGCCACTGTCCTTCCCGATGGGCAGAGGTGCCCTGTGCCCTGCAGGGAGGGGGGTCCAGCCCGTGCGGTGTTGGTGCTCTCTGCCACAGTAGTGCTGGTATTTTCATTAAATCCCATTTAAACCTCATTCTTCAGTGCTCTCAGAGCTTGGCACTCTGCAGGGTGGGCTAATTACTGAGCAGGGGAAGAGGAGGTTTCTCCTCCTCAGCTGCAGCCCCACGCAGGGAGGCTGCTTTGGCTCCCTGCCGTAAGGACGGTATTTCAGAGACCCCTAAAGGGGCAGGGGGGGCCGTGGGCTGGCAGAGGAACGGCAGGGCAGGCTGTGCTCCATCCTACGTGCTCTGTCCTGTGGCAGGTTTGGGCTGAGCTTTCTTCCAGTGCACTGTGGGACCCCCACCAGTGCATCCCCCACCCCAGATCCCTGCCCTCCCCTCTCTGCCGCCGCAGCTCAGCCCATCTCTCTTTTGCTTTAGGTTTCTGAGAACTTTCTGGGCCCACAACGTCGAGACTCTTCCAGCAGCCGGGAGGACGGCAGGTCTGAGGAGCTGGCTTCCATGTGGAGGGCTGTCCTAGCCAGGCAGAGTTGTTAGCCCTGCACGTCTTCTTGGCAGCATGTACAGACAAAACCACAGCAGGTCTGGGGTGGCGTGGGGGGGGTCTTATGGGGCTTCGACTGCTGCTGAAGACTGACCCACTCCTCTCCAGGGGTGGGCAACCAACAGGCAGGTATCGCTGTGACTCCTGCCCAGCCTGCATGCCAGCCCAGGGGTCCCCGTGGCTTGTGCAGCCTCTGCTGGGGTTGCCAGCCACCCCATGGCACCATCAGCAGCCTGGCTGTGTGTGGTGGCTGTAAAGCTGGTTTAGCCTGGGGGGCCTGGGGCAGCAGCACGGGATCCAGCCCAGCTTTGCCCGTGGTGGCCGTGCTCAGGCTCCCATGCCAGCGAGGATAGCCACCTTCCCCTGCCCCACGCTGGCCCAGCTCACCGCCCTGCCAGGACAGGGATGGGGACAGGCCACGTAGGAAGCACATGCACTAGGGCAGACAGCAGCTGGCTTCGAGTCTTTTCTAAAGCAGCTGATTTCAGTAGTGTCTTTAGGATAAGTCCCTGCTCTCCCTGCTCCTCCTGGGCTCCCACCCGGCTGGCCTGGCCCCTCACCAGCGGCGGTTGCCTTCTCTCCCTCTGTTCTGGTTGTCCTCTTACCTCCTAGTGTTTAGAGCACATAAAACGAGTTGGGTTTTCTGCTGATTACAATGACAGTAAATGCTGATTTTAAAGGTACCGTCCTCTCCTTGTTGCAATGTGTCCACGGGAATGGGCTCGTGCTTGGGCGCAGCAGCGTGGCCGTGGCTTTACGGGGGCGCAGGGAACCTGTGTGCTGTCTCCTCTGCTGCCTTCCCTGCCCCAGAGCAGCCCGGTGTGGGTCAGGAGAGCGGGGTGTGAGAGCAGACCATCGCTCCTGTGATCAGAGTCAGCCAAGCAGCAGCTCCAGGCACTGGGGTCGGGTAGAGCCATGGTGTGGGGCACTTCCCAGCAGGGAAATACTCACAGACAGGGCATCAAACCCGTGGCAGAGCTCTGTGCTTGCCCCCTGGGTTTGCTGCCTGCCACAGAGCATGGCTCGCTGGGGGCTCTCAGCTACAGTGACCACCAAGGGCTACATGAAAAATCCCAAGTCTAAGCTAACTGCCCATAAATGCTGTCATTCCTGAGCTCATTCGCAGAACACTCTATAGCAATTCCTGGCAGCGCTTTGAACCAGATCCTGAGTCACCGATGCCTTGAATCACACCACAGCAGTGACACCCCCACACACAGCCACAGGGTCCTGCTCCCACCAAAGGCAGGCGACGTACCTCGAGAGTTATCTGTGGGACCCGGGGCCAAGCACTGCTGGGACACCAGGCAGGACATCCCAGCCTGCCCACGGGGAGCAGGAGGAGGGGTTGGCACCAACAAGGAGAGGTAGAAAGACAGCCAAAAAAGACAAAGTCTGCCTTTTTTAATAACTGCAAAATTTATTACAGTGGTTTGCTCCTGACAAGGAAGTTGGTAACCTCCTGCCTGGGAAGGAAGGGTGGGAAAGGGGAGGGATGAGAAGGAGAAAAGGATGTGAGAGACAGAGAGAGAGAGAGACACTTAAGGACACTTTTCATTTTCTGAAAATAAAACATCTTTTACCTCCCAAACCAATTTCTCCAGTTCTTTAAGTTCACAAAAAGAAGGTGAAACCGAACCACAGACTTCAGGAGGAAAAATGCACAAACATGTTGAAAGCAGAGACAAACATGCTCTTCTGCATCTAACAAGCTTCCACGAGCTGCGTGGCTCCGGGCGCAGCGTCTGCAGCTCCTCGAGGCGCCGGCTCTGCGTGGAGCCACGGCAGACAACAGCCCCCTCAGAACCAGGAGCAAACACCCGCCGTGGAAAACACACCTGAACCAACCCCAGCCGTGCTGAGGAGCCCCAGCAGAGCCAGGGGGTCTGGCCATGGCGGGGGGGCCATGCTGTGCTGCCCAGTGGTGGGGTGGGAGGAGAGGAGAGCGTGGCTGAGACCAAGAGAAAGCAGCAGTGAGAGTCCAGTACGTCCCAGCCTGGGGGGCTGCAGCCCCAGTGCTACCCAGTGGTGTCTGTGAGCCCCTGTCCTGTGCTGGGAGAGGAACTGGCAGCTCTTTGCTCGTGGCTTTGGCACAGCATTTGCTGTCACCCAGGGACACAGCAGAGTGTGACTCAGGATCTGGGGGCTCAGCTGGGCCTGGCATGAAGCACAAGACAATTCTTATTACTCCTTACCCATGTATTTGGGCAGGTAACTGCAAGAGGGGGCTGCAATGCCCCCCAGCTCCCCGAGTCCCCGGGCACATGCTGGCACGGGAGCAGCTCCAGGCTGTTTGCAGCCTGGGCCCTGCACCTCCCTCCTGCCCCGCTGCTCTGCCACCGTCACCTGCGGGCAGGGGACAGGCTCCATCCCTGTCCCATTCTTCCCCTTGGCTGTTCTCCTGGACACAGCTGATGGCTGGAGCGAGACAGGACCTGCACTGCCTGGGGACACCATCCCAGGGCTCCCCGTCCTTGCACTTCAGGAACCAGCTTGGGTCACGGTGCTGATGCTGCCTGGGCACCATGACCTGCAAAGCTCTCCAGCCGCAGGGGTGTAGTGCTGGCACCAAGGGTGCAGTAGCAGGGCCATGGACCCAAAGTGTCCTGAGGACAGTCCCCTGCTCCTGGTACCAAATCCCTTGGAGCTTCTACAGCAAAGCTTTGACACGCCAGAGACGTGTTGACTGCAGACACCCGTGGGCTCCAGGCACAGTGGCTGCCCTGGGCTGCAAAGCCACGGCTGGTGCCTCCAGCACTGAGAAAACTAATCTCAGCTGAGGGGTAGCACCTCCTGTCCCTGCCTGCCCTCGCTTGGCCAGGGCAGCAGCGGGATGCAGAGCAGAGCAGGCAGCCACGCTGCGGGGAGCCAGGAGCAGGGACCCCGGTACACAAACCTTGGGGTCCTAGCATGGCTGCGTGGGGCTGACGGCTCCAGCCTCAGCCCTGGGGTTCTGCTTGGCTCTGCAGAAATCCTCTGCCTCCATGCTGGGGCCTGGCAACACCCCAAATGCCACAAAACCACAACCCGGCGGGGGGGGGGGTTCACCTCACCTCTCCCCTGCCCTGTGCATGCGGGGCCCTGAGACATGGGGCAGGGTTGGGGGAGGGATGGTAACGGTGGAGAAAGGGCTGGTGGGGGCAGCAGGAGAGGAGCATCAATAGGAGAAAAGCCAGGACAGGCTTTGCCCTTCCTTTGTGCCGCAGAGCTGGGTCGGGCAGGCAATAGCTCGAGCACCGTGTGTGCAGAGGAGCCGAGGGGCAGCACTGGTGATGGGGCAGTGCGGCCACCGAGCCCAGGGCCCCGCAGCCACCAGCCGTCCTTACTGTGTATTAAAATAAACCATCTGGGACTGTTCCAATAGTACGGGTCAAACAGCATCACTGAGACGGGGGGGTGGAGGGGTGGCGCTGGCCCCCCAGCCCCAGGCACGCGTCCTGCCCCCGCCACCCCGCTGGCAGCACCGGGTCTGTGCGGGCGGCCGCGCTCAAGTCCGCTTGGCGTGCAGCATCTCGATGAGGAGGTTGTTGCAGGGCACCTCCCCGCTCAGGTGCTTGTGGTAGAGGTACTCCTCCGCCTGCATGCTCAGCGCCCGGACCTCCGCCAGCCGCAGCAGCAGCTGGCGAAACTTGTCCGTGGAGTGGGGGTAGTGGCAGACCGTGTACTCCAGCAGCGCCGCGTTGGCCTTCTCCTGAGCGTCCTTCGCCAGCGTGTGGTTCTCCAGGTACTTCACATCTGCAAGGGAGGAGGGAGGAGGGTGATACGGTGCTAAACCCGTGTGTCTGCCCCATCTGTGCTGTGCCAGGAGGGACCCACACTCCTGTGTCAATGGCCCTCATGCACAAAAACACAGTGCAGAGGGGTTCTGTGCCCCATCCCTGCCCGGCCACGGGCTCCTCATCCCAGCTCTGCCTCCCATGCTGAAGACGGACACCCAAACTCTGGGGCAGCAGGAGGGCTGGTGCCCCCCTGCCCTCACCACCCAGGAAACTACAAAGGCAAAACGAGTTCCCAGCTGTGCCCACACACAGGGAGCTGCTGCCAACAGCCCCCTTTAATTCCCGAAGGTCGAGGAAGCGGCTGCATTAATTCCTTGATAAACCTGGTCTTTCCAATGTGGCAACCGGGCTCCCCAGCCTGGAAACCCTAATCCTCCGAGCCTCACCAGGGCCAAAGCAGCTCCCCAGTAATCCCACTGCTGGGTCTGGGTGGGGAAGTGGCACAGCAGGCAGTGGCACCAAGGATCCTGCAGGGGCTGGTGCCAACATGGCATTGGCAGCACTCAAGCACTCAGCTGGGGCACCCACGGCCCCAGGGCAGAGATTGTCCCTGGGGATGCCTGGTCTGTAACTGCCACAGCAGGAGGGTGACTGCAGGGACAGCCCAGGCTGGTGGCTTGGGGTTTCTCCAGGACACCCGAGCTGGGATCTGCCCTCTAAGGATGCTGCCTCAGTGCTCAGGTTGCCACCAGCGCTCTGAGAAGGAAGCACTGATTTTTAATCTGTGCAATACGTCGTTAAACCAGCCCTGTGTGCAGATTTCAGTGCTTTAGGGGAACACTGCTGTGTGCCACCCTGTCAGCCAGCTACAGCCACACACAGCCACGGCATCTCACAGAATCACAGCATGATATGGGGTTGGAAGGGACCTCTGGAGATCACCCAGTCCAACCCCCTGCCAGAGCAGGGCCACCCAGAGCAGGTCCCACAGGAACGTGTCCAGGTGGGTTTGAATGTCTCCAGAGAAGGAGACTCCACCACCTCCCTGGGCAGCCTCTGCCAGGGCTCTGCCACCCTCACAGGAAAGAAGTTCCTCCTCATGCTTAGATGGAACTTATGTTCAAATTTGTGCCCATTCCCTCTAGTCCTGTCAACAAATCCCAGCACCGAGTCTGTTTGGGGCCAGTGGCTTTAGTGGATGTGCTGCAGGGCACGGAGGCACCCGGCAGCGCTGCGCTCGCTGCCCACAGCCAGCAGCCCTGATGCACAGCCAAATGCAGGTCTGCGTGGGAGCCAGGACACATCCCACCTGTGGGCTGGGAACGGGGAAATCTGGGCACGGGTTCTGGCCAAGGCGGCTGGGAATTTGGGGTTTATTTCTGGCAGAGCCTGGGGAGCGGAGGTGTAGCCGGGGGAGGGCCAGGGGGCCCCCGGGGAGATGCAGCCCCGGCCGTGCCCATGGCACAAAGTGCCGTGGGTCGTGCCAAGATGCACTTTATCAGATCACCCTTCCCTTTTCACTCCTGCGGCACATTTGCTCCCATTGTGGCTGCCTCCCTTCTACCCGGGTTGTTGTTATGAAATCTCTTTATCTGCATAAGGTTATTGTGCATGTCATTAAAAAAAAAAGAATTTATATTGATAAATGTCAAATCTATCCCCTGAGTTGGCTCAACAATAGCTAGTTCTACTCGATGAACTCACCTGGTTCTCTGAAAGACCCTATTCACTGTTTAATTGAATATTTGAATAATCTTTTCATTCCTGCAAGGAATAAAGAATGTTGTCCAAATAACATTGACTCACTTCATTTAGAGACACTGCAGCAGTTGCAAAGACTGTCCTGTGACAAAGCCTCCCATCACACATACAGATATGCCTGGGATTATTTCTATGCCCTCAAGTGTTCTTCCTATTCACAGCTCCTTTTGTTTGGGAGAAGCTGCTGATAAATTGCAAACGCTTAAGGGAATGTGGGCTATAAAAGCCTCTCTTCCTCCCCTCCCCAAGAGTAGCTGCTTCATGAATGTAAGTCATGAAATCGAATGATAGGTCAATCCATTAAGGCTCTATTAAGCCCTTCTGTAGAACAAAGCTAACCTGTGCCGTCCTCATAAATATTGCTATTTTGAGAAGCCCTAATTTTAATTAAATCTCTTTACCTGCTCAGGAGAGAAATCTATTTAGAACTCAAATGGCAGCTCTTGTGAGCGGGGCTTGGCTTTGATTGTGCTGTGGCAGAGTGGTAAATGTGGAAATTCTCTTGTTAAAGGCAATTACATCCTGCACATAATACACAATCCCATCCTCTACAGCTGAGCCTGCGAAGGGCAAATTACTCCAAGTGAGCTCTGCAATATGGAGAGAAAAAGTTGGATTTGGGGCAAAATGATGTATGGGGAAATACAGCTCTCTGATTCCACGCCCTCCCTGAAAGCTGTTGCTCTGGGGAAGCGGAACCGCAGCCGCGATGGGCACGGTGGTGTGGGGCTGGGGGCTCCGGGGGGACGCTGCTCTTGCTGGCTGGGCTGGGGGCGGTGGGGGGACAGTCCTCACGGGTGCTAAGCCCACAGGGCAGCAGCTGGGGAAGGTCCCAGCTCCTTTATTTCCCAGCCCGGGCACTGTTTGTGCCACACCTTATCACTGCTTGAACAGCAAATTGTCATATCTAATTTCTCTGGATTTCAAAACAGCTCCAGAGGAACAGAAAGCTGCGGGAGGAGATGCTGCAGGTGCAGGAGGGGACGGCAGAGCAGACACCCGCCCTGCCCGGCCCCCCTGCCAGCGGGGACATCCACTGCAAACCTGAGTCAAACCGCCGTGTCCTTCAGACCGTACTGGCCCTGACCCCGTCCTCTGGGATGGGGGAGTGGGTTCCCTCTGCCTGCAGCGTGTCACTGCCCCCCACTTCACCCAGTAACCCAGTGGCAGTGCTGCTCCTGGAGCAGGCTGGCTCCTCAGTGACAGTGACATACAGTGATGCAGACTCTCCGTCAAGCACAAACTACCAAAACACACGGCAGTGCCCACACGGGGCAGAGAGCAGCTCATGGCCCAACTGGCAGGAGCCCCCTGGGGTGGGACATCATGGATGGAGAAGGGCAAGAACAGACTGAGGCACTGGGACAGGGTCAGGGATGGAGACAGGGTTGCCCCAAGCTGGCATCACCATCCCAGCTCGGGACCAGCACCCGGCCGCTGCAGGGACCCAAGCACAAGTTTCCCTGGGGAAATGCCAGCTCCCACTGGGCCCGGGTGTGTGCAATTAGCAGCGGCTGAGGAGGTGTGGGAAGGGAAGCAGCCGCGGTGGCAGAGGTGCGAGCCCAGAGCACGACAGCCAGCTGAGCCCCTCGCAGGCCCCGCCACCATCCTCGCGCTGGGAGGTGAGATCTCCCGCTGGGACGGGGCTGAGGGGAAGGTGTCAGCACCAGTAATGAAGGCAGCTGGACCCCCTGGGCTCCTCGTGGTGCTCGGCACCATCCACAGTTGCACCATCCCACAGAGGGCTGAGCGCTCCAGCGGGAATCCCATGGGCATCCCTGCCTCAGGGTGATGCCTTTGGGAAAGGAGGTGCATCCCTGCCCATGGTGGATGGGGAGATGCTCCCTGCGGGTGCAGTGGCACGGGCAGGGTGGGAGCGGGGCAGGCATGGGGCAGAGCCACTCTGCAGCCCCTGGCAGCAGCGCCCGCAGCTCCCGGGTATTTTGTCTGGGCGAGTGGGATGTTGTGAACCCGCCGCCTCGGCCCGACCGCAGGCTCCGGGGCTGAGCCTAATCGGCACGGGCCCTCTGACGCAAATCCCGGGAGATAGGGCTGTCCCCAGTCGCCGCCTCTGTCAACATGCCTGTTTTGCCCTGGCTCTATCAGCCGGTTGTTTCCCTGCCCGGTGAGATGGGTCAGTGACCAAAACAGGCTCCCCACAGCCACCGGGGAGACAATGTCACCAACGGCGGGGGGCAGAGCCCAGACCCACAGCAGGAGACGTTTCAGACCCCTTGGCGGGGCAGAGCAACCGGCAGGTCCTAGCCCTCGCTCCTGCCCCCTCATTAAAAGCCCCTTCGTCACCCACGGGCACAGCAGCCAGCACTGCCCGACCCTGGGCTGTGCATGGCCCCTCCAGCTGTGCTCCCACACCTGAGACCCCACAGCAGCATGGCCAGGACCCCCGAGCGTGGCCACCCCTCATCCCGGTGCCCCCCGCAGCGGTGCTCACCAAGGCTGAAGAGGATGAGGAACTTCAGGCAGACAAACTCCTGCCGGTCCACCTGGAGAGAGTGCAAGTGCAGGACGAGCTCCTGCGCCCGCAGCACCAGCGTGTTGAGGATGGAGCCAGCCTGGGCTGCGATGGTCGACATGTCCACCTGCAGGGACCAGGATGGTGTCAGCTGTGGTGGCCCCAGTCCCCCCAAACCCACTGCAGGCACCCCACACATGGCAGGAGCCAGGCACCAGCCCAGAGAACTGACTGAGAACTGGGGGTGTCAAAGCAAAGGCTGACGGGTGAAAAGGGAATCTGGTTTCTCCAGTGCTGCTTAAAAAAGAGAGGTGGGTGCTGACATTGCAGACACCTGCAGCTCCATAATCCACACCTGGGGCAGGATGAGGCCCCTTCCCACCTCCCGCCTCTGCAAGTACAGCTGTGGCTGTTGATCTTTCCATGAGAAACTTTTTTCTCTGATGGGATGGGGTGGTACTTTCTTCAGAAGCAGTCCCACAGCACAGCAAAAACCACCTGTCCACCCTGAGCCAAGTCGGCCACACTCGACCAGAAGTAGCACACAAATCACCCCTGGGACCCCCTCCAGCCCCACCACCCAGCCCCCACTGCCCCCTCCACAGCAGTCACCATGGTCTCCATGGCCAGCACTCACCTCCTGGCCGGTGACGAGCAGCACGCTGTGCTCCTTGCTGTGCTGCAGCTGCCGGTAGACATGGTCGAACACCAGCAGCTCGCTCCAGCAGTTCTGCAGCAGCTTCATCTGGTCGCCCACCTGAAACACAGCCAGAGCAGCTTTGAAGCATCTCAGCATGTTTCAGCGGCACTTGCTGGCTGCCATCAGCACGGGTTTTCCCCCACCAGGCACAACCTCCCCGAACCGCACACAACTCTTTAACAAAATGTCTGCTGGCCACGTCCCCAGGCAGGAGGGAACGTGTGGTGGCTGCACAAAAGCCCTGTGTCTCCGGGCGGCCCCTCTGGATGCTTTAGAATTGAAGAAGTCGGTACCCAGTGTCGCCTCCCTGCCCGGGACGGCAGGTTTTGGCGGGGGGGGCACAGAGCTGCAGGGGAGGTCCTGGCTGTGGGGCATCACCGTGTCCTGCAGCTGCCAGGTCATCCTCTGCCCACGCACCAACACGCGTGTGATCACATGCACATTTGCACATGTGCTGGTGTGTAGGTACAGGCACAGGTACAGGTGTCCACAGCTACGCTTTCAACGAAATGCCTGCGACTGTGTGTAAGAAGCTCAGCCCAGGACACAGCCTGCAAGGACCCACACAGGTCTGTTGGGAACACGGGTGGGCTGCAGGCAGTGATGGGCAGAACAAGCTGCCAGAGCTCGTCCCCTCATCATTGGCTTCATCCCCTCAGCACCGCTCTCCACAGGACCCCAACTCCTTTCTGCAAAGGGCTGAACCCCCCGTCCCCTGCTTGGACCCCCCCCTCTCCTGCAGGGCTGGTGTGGGCAAAGGGCCGGGGGTTACCAGTGATACCTCCCTGCAGAGCAAATTCAGCGCCAGCAGAAGAGCTCTGCAGTGCCATTGTGCTCCCTGCCTTTAATAGAAGGAAGACAGATGCAGTATCACAGGACTGGATAATACCCTCGTTTTGCTGAAGAGGCTGCAATAAACCAGTGCTGGGAGATTGCAAAAGGAATAGAAGTCAGATGAGAAAGAGCTTTATGGTCTCGGAGCCCGGCACTCCCCGCGAGCCGCCGGGATTTGTTTCTCAAGTGCAGTGGGTGGTCAGAGCCGGACGCGCGGCAGCGCGGGGAGGGAGATGCAGAGCTGAAGGCAGCGACTGCAGCGCCTGCTCCTGCCCAACGGTATGAAACCTGCCTGCAGAGAGGTGCCGTGGGGCTGCCAAGGCCGGGCTCACCACCACATCGCCCAAACCATTGAAGAAACCACGGTACATGGCCCAGCAGTACGGACCGTGGGCTTTCTGTTCAGCTGCTGAACAAAGAACTGGGGAAAAGCTCATTCAGCACCAAAACAAAATGGAAATTTTCTGTATTCGTGTTGACCTCTGCCCCAAGGCAAGTGGCTGGTTGTACCCATGGCCAGCCCTCGCAGGGAGCTGGGGTCCGGCCCTGGCAGCGTGCTGCCAGCCCAGCCACATGCTCCTGACAGTGCCGAGCTCCTCCGCTCCGCTGAATCACAGCGTTGTTTTGGAAGCTCCTTCCTGTGCCTCATTCCTGAGCAGGACGAGCTCCAGAAGGGACAGACTGAAGGCTTTGCCCTGAAAATGGTTTTTAAAAATTCAGCTTTTCCAAAAGGAAGCATTTCAGCTGTTTCAAAATCTTTTCTTCCTTTAAAAATTACTAACCAGCTTCTCCCAAACTCTGCAGGTGGGTTCAGCTCCCTCGGCAGAGAATCTCCCTGCATCCCCTCAGCAGCACATCCCTCTCCTGCCCCCATGCACTGATGTTCCGCAGCTTTTCCTGGGAGCATCTCACCCAGGATCCCCGTGGCCATGGCATGGTGGGGACATGGTTGGGAGCGTGATGGGGTGGGCTGGGAGCTCTGGGGGCTGCCCAGGGCTCAGGGACACCTCCAGGGACCCCAGCCCTGCCTGCACCCCAGCACCAGGCTGGGTGTCCCCATGCTGTGGTGGCAGCGGGTATCCCCCCGTGGCCCTGCTCCAGCCGTGCAGCTCTTCTGCAAGGGGGTCCTGGCTGGAGACCACCTCCCCTGTGCCCAGGGCCAGCCTGGCCCCCAGGAGGAGAGGGCTGCTAATGGACGGCCACTCAGAGTCAATCAATCCTCCCAGCGAGGCAGCACGCACGCACTCCCGCCTTTAAAAGTTAAGCAAAGGATCTTCCTCTTTTAATGTCAAGGCTTTTCAACGGAGTGCTTTATCAAGGACCTGATGCAAGCTGTCTTTAAGAGGCGATTTTTTTTTCATTTAATTTTTTTTTAAAGCAAGCATTTAACCCATTCACAAAACACGCAGCGAAATGCTCCCCGTGGAGGGAGAGCACTCTGCTGCCCAGCCGCCGAGAGCGCCTTGCTGCTGGAGGGCTGTGACCCACGGAAAAATGCATTTCCCTGAGGCAAATGGGCTGGGACCGAGGGCCGGAGGGGAGGCAGGGTGTGCGGAGGCATGGAGGGTGCTGCCTGGGCAGGGGCTGCAGGACCTGCATGTGGATGTAGTTTTAAACGTCCTGCAACCCTCCCTGTGGGTTCGTAGGCACGAGGGGAGGAAGCCCCTGGAAGTGTTGGGGGCTCCCCAAAATGTGCCTGGGCCACCCCAGCACCCCAAAGCCAAACCCCCATGGGGATGGCACAGCCTTGCTGCGCTTGCTGGTCCAGGGCATCCCTCACCTTGGGTACCACCATCTGCCCTCGAGCATCTCAGCAGCAAGGTGACCCACCAGCAACCCCACTTTGCTGGGAAGCCCTGAGCGGGTCCCAGGACATCCATCTCCAGCCTCTCCCCACCTGGTTTCAGCCCACCATGGGCACAAGGAGCTCTTGGATGCTCCCGACCTGCCTTTGCCCCAGGGATGCTCTCGGGTCTCCTCCCAGATCACTGGTGCAGGATTTGGCCCAGCAGGTCCCACGGGGGTGCACAGCCCACGCCAGCGCCCCGAGCCACAGCCCGGGCAATTACTGGGTGTGAGCAGGACCCGTCACCTTGGCTACTGAGAAGTGCAAAAGTGGATAACCATCCACCAGCCACCCGCAATCAAAACCCCACACAAGCCTAAGGTGTTAATGGTCAATGCAGGTCCCCATCCTCCTGCCCAGATACCACCGCAATGGGCATCTTAAAGAAAAAAAAAATGACCAAAACCTGTGTGGTAGGGCCAGGATCCCATCATGTCCCTGCTGGCAGAGCACACTGCTGTGTCCACGCTACCAGTTTCTGCTGGTGCTCACAGGCATCTGGCTGCAGGGCTGTGTGAGCATCGTGGCTCTGTGTGTGCCTCGGGAGCGAGGGCAGGGCTGGGACGCGGCAGCCAGGGAAAGCCGTCACTTTTCCCCCAGTGCATCGCATGCTAAACATTGCTGCAGCATCCACGACCAGAAGGAGATTTTAAATCTGCCAAAAACGCTCTGGCTGTTGGCCAGGAGATGGGGTCAGGCTGACCCATGCATACTAGAGGCAGAGAAGCAACTGACTACAAATGGGCTCCGTTGTGGCTCCGAGATCTCCAGCGAGAAGCCAGGGAGAGCAGCCCAGCAGAGAGACCCACAGGAACCCCTCGGTCCGTGGGAATGGTGTGCCCTCGCGTGTGTGTCCCCACCACCACTGGTGCTTGCCCATGGAAGGGAGGGTGGTTTGCCCCAGCCCCACGGGGAGAAGGGACTGAGGAGGGGACCAGCATCAACCCACCTCCCCACAGTCGCGCCGTGCCGCTCCATCAGCAGCAGGGACCCGCCGCACACCCAGCCCAGCCCGGCCTTCAGGCTGAAACCACGGCAATTTGTTTAGCATTCCTGGCTGCTCATCCCAATCTAAAGGTCACTGCACCCCTGTGTGCACGATATTTATATGTACGTGTGGCAGTAACACCTATATAAACCAGGCTGTGCAAGATAAGTATATACAAACCAAACCGAACCCAGACACAAAGTGAGTGTGCAAGTGTGCGTGTGTATGCACATCTCTCTGTCTGTCTCTCTCCATATATATATAAAAAAATTACATCTGAAAGGACAAAGTTGCCTGAGACTCACGACCCAACAAAATATATTTCACCCCCGGCCCATATTTTTCTTCCTGAAGAGATGCTGCAAATCTTCCCTCAGTCCTGACACATCTCATCTAGACTCAGTTAAAGTTCGTATTTATGGGCGTCAGCGCTGACCTCTTCCACCTCCGCCCGCGCGGCCTCGCGCCGCGGCTGCCTGGCCGGCCCTCGATAAACAAGTGGGCCCCCAAATCCCTCTCTGCCGCGCGGCATTATTAGTCTTGCCTCCGAAGGCCAGCGCAGTCCGTAATTCTCTGTCTGGTGACACGAGATGAACGCCGCGACATCAGTCTCCCCGGCGGATTGGCATGGGGACCCTCGTTTGTCAGTGGCAGACTGACAGAATTACTGGCCCTTAAATGAAACGATATATCTGGGAAGTTAAATCTGTTTTCAATCTGACTGCCCCGCGCCTGCGGGCGGACGTGGCGTGTGAGCCGATGTCAAGAGGCCATTAGCCCACCTCCCCCCCGCTTCCCCAGCCGCAGCCGCGGAGCCGGGGGGGCTCTCCCCGGGGGCCCCCACCCCAGCAGGAGGAGATGGCAAAGGGCTGGTTTGCCGCTGGCCCTCGCTGGGCTGCTAGTGTGGGACTGGGACTGGGAACAGGGACGGGAGTGGGAATGGTAGCAGCCCCAGCACAACGCTCCTCCAGCCTGGACCCTCGGGCGACAGCCCTTCCCCGCTGCTGATGGAGGCTGTCACCTTCGTGCAGCCGTTCCCAGGGGACGGAGGTGGCAGCCAGCATCCCCTGCTCCCAGGAGCCCTGAGCACCCAGCAGGGCCTGCCTGCGTGGTGGCATCGATCTGTGAGAGCGTGATTTTACTCCCTGCTAGTGGGCTTTAGGGTAAAGCCATAAACTCTGCACTAGCGGGAGTTCATTTACCACCCCAGCAGCTGTTGGCTTTTATGCGCCGGCAGGAGCAGGAAGGGGGTTTCAGGAGCCACAGTCCTTCTTCCACTTCCCAAAGGCTTCTCTCCACATGCCCAAGGAAAAGCCACCGCCCCGGCACCGTCCCAAGGGGCGACACGCACAGAGGGACCCGGGCACCACAGCCCCGTGCCAGGGGCTCAGGGGGAGCCAAGGCCAGTGACAACCAGCCTTTCTCACGCTCCCTCTGGAGTCAGGGTGGGACACGGTGTCCTGCGGTCCCTGCCCCTGTGAGATGCTGGAAATCTGCCCCGAGCTCCTGCACGGGCAAAGGCAAAAGGCACAAGGCGCCGGAGTGTCCGTGATGGACCCAGCCGAGCTCCCGTCCCTGGGGCACGATGTCCCATGAACTGGGCACGACAGGGGACGTGCCCCGCTCCCGGCAAGGTGCCAGTGGCCCTGCCCAGGTGAGACCTCTCCCTCTGCTGTCCCCCCCAGAGCCTCGCCGGAGGAGGAGCGCCCACCGACGCGGATTCACATGGAAACAGCCTATTTTGGTGGCGCAATCAGGCTGACAATGGAGTTACAAGGCTACACAGCAATGCAGCCGGGAGCTGAATTTACACTGTTTATAATATCTCCTGCAAAACAACAACCACCCTGTTCCCAAAATCCAGGCTGGACACTGATATGATTGAAACGAGCCCAACCCACCCCCACAATGCTGTTTCCTGACACTGTTCTGGCAGCGAGGGGCTATTTTGAGCCGCGAGGCTCTGCCACACTCAGCCCCATGGCACCCTGCGGGGAGGGCACGGGGAAGAGCCTGGCCCTGTCCTGGGCACAGTCCCCACGGCACTGTGGGAGGACAGTGATTTTGGGCAGAGCAAGTAGCTCAGCCTCACACTCAGAGCATGGGAAGGTACCTGGGTCTCCTGCTGCCCCAGGACATGACTCTCTGGGTTTTGGCCACGTTGCAAAATTTTGTCTCCCATTTATGCACTGGCTTGGGATCTTAGATCAGCCCAGGAGATGAAGAGAGAATGTCTGAAAGCTTGGCAAGGCTTGCAGGAAGGCAGAAGCTGTCCCACCCCTGCTAATCCACCCGTTGGCCCCAGTAAATGTCTGGGGGGATTTGCTAGGTGGGGTGGCCCAGGAGGACAGGGGCAGCACCATGTCCCCCAGCCCGGCACGCTCATGGGCTGCTGGCAGCAGAAGCAGGTCCAGAGAGGGCTTGGTGATGTCCCCTGCCCCGGCCAGCCCTGCCCTGGCTGCCTGGTGCTAATAGGCACCCACCTGACAGCATCGATTTTCCTCCTAAAGGCGGAGGAGAGAATTGTCTCAACTATAATTCCTCAACGTTGCATTTTTCAATTATATCTTGAGCTTGACACTGCAGTCACTCTGCCAGCGATTGCCTCCACACCTGCCCCCGCCGTGATGAATCTGAAATCATTAGCCCCACAGCGACAGCAGGAATCACTCTGGCAATACAGCCAGGCCCGGTGCCTCCAGCCCTGCCGTGTGGGGAGCCGGGAGCGGGACGGGGACACACCAGCACATCTGGTAGCCCTGGGCTCATCCCCACCCCTCACGGCATTTTAGCTCCGATCCTACCCATGGCAACATCCCATTCTCATAGTGTTTCAGCCCAAATTCTACCTGCCTCCCTCCACCCGCCCAGTGCAGCATCCTTCCCCCTCGCCCAGGCTCCTACCTCCAGCTCCTTGAAGAAGATGCAGCTCCGTGCCCACTCCACGATGGAGAAGAGGGTCTGGTCAGCCATCTTGCACATGAGGCCGAAGGTGCTGAGCTTCTCGTGCCGGCCTTTGCCTTGCTCCTGCTGCAGGCAGGCCAGTATCCGCGCCTTCACCTGGGCCTCGTCGGGCTCCAGCTGCAGCAGCTTCAGGATGACCTCGGGGATGTCCGGGGGGGAGCTGCTGGGGTAGGTCTCTGGGTAGACATAGGCGGGCACGGACTCGTGTGTGTTTGTGTAGTGGTCCGGGTACTCGGACTTGATGGTGCGGTTGGGGAAGGAGGGGTAGTGGTAGCCGGCGAGCGGCGCGTGGCTGGGCACAGTCATTCCCAGGGAGGGCGTCCCGTAGGGGCTGCGCTCGTAGTCGACGGGCGTCAGGGCGGCGGGGTTGGGCGGCAAGGTCTTGGACATGGTGTGGATGCTGTGGATGGTGGAGGACAGGCTGTAGTCGTTCTGCACCGGGGACATGATCTGAGGCACGGTCTCCAGCTTGAAGCCGTTGGCACGGATCAGAGCTTTCTTCTGCTGCTTTAAGGCACGGTCCCGCTTGTACATGGGTCCAAACTTGTTCCTCCCGCCGCGCATCCGGTCTGCACGCACGGCTGGGGGCAGAGAGGGCAGGGGCTGCAGTGAACCCACACGGGGGACACCAGCACCTCCCTATGGCATGGAGAAAGTGAAGGGAGGGGCAGATTTGGTGGCTGAACAGGGCTGGGAGACACTGGGGAGACCTTCCCAGAAAGCCACCAGCAGGACTGTGGCCCTCCCAGCCCAGCCGTGCACACCAGGGACGTGACATGGCAGGTTCAGGTGCCTGGCCCTGGCTCTTGCCTTCCTGGTGTAACCCCCAGAGCATCTAGGAATTGCAGGAAAGGAGGAGACTGTCGGCTTTAACTACAAAATGGGGTGGGAGATAAAGCAGCTTGCCTCCTTCATGGGTTGGGGGCACAGCCCAGAAAGCCTGGGCAGGTGAGGGTCTTGACACTCACTTTTATTTTTACAACCCCTGACTCTGCACCACCCTGGGATTTCCTTGTTTCTGCAGAGCCTGGGACCCCACAGCCCCCTCAGGACCCTGCTTTGCCAACAGCCTGGCTGCACAGGCTTCTTTTCTGCAAATCTCTGCCCCTCTTATGGGCAGCAGAGCTGGCAGCCCCAGCCGGGCACACTGCACCCCTCAGCAGGGCTGTGCCCGCTTTTGGGCAGGGGGCTGCCTGTCCCTGCTGAGTATCAGCTGTGGCCGAGGGGCTCTGCCGGAGCATCCCGCTGCTGGAATCTCTCTGTCGGCCCCATCGCCATCTCCCAGCTGTAGCAAAGCCAATGTTCTCTCTGAACCCCCAAAGAAACCCAAGAATGTGTCAGAGCACGAGGGAGCAGGTGCTTCTCTGCAGTGTGAGCTCGTCCCTCCCCACCGCCCTGCGCTCCTCCCGGGGGCTGCTGCCCCGGCTCACCCTTGGAAGAGCCCCAGCTTGCTGGAAGCTCGGAGCTGGGAGCTGGCCGGCAGTGCAGAGGGATGGAGGAGAGCGCACCAGCGAGCACAGCCCGCAGACTTAGCATCAAAGGGGAAAAAAAAGCCCTCTGCTAGTTTTCGTCCCCACTGACAGCAGGCAGGTCTTGCTTTTGTGTCTCAGCTGTTACCTCTGCCTCTCTTCTGCCTACTTATCCCTGAGCCGCTGAAAGCACAGCCAGCCCCCCCCCAGAGAGCCAGGCCACCTCCCAGGCTCTCCTCAGGCAGGCTGGAAACTCAGGAGCATCGGCCGGGAGCAGCAGCATTTCCAGAGCAAGCAGGAATGTGCTCCCAGGGGAGCCGCCCTGAGCTTCCTCCCTCCTTCTGTATTCATGAAAACAGCATCTGATGGGGAGCAGGGCGGCCAGAGGCATCTCTGAGGCAGGGGGTGCTGTGTCCCCCGCCCCCCCCCAGCACCTGGAAGCCTTCCCGCACACTTTGGGGCAACAGACATCTGCCCCGGGGCAGTTCCTAACTTCGGGGGTACAGGGGAGATGGCTGCAGTGAGCATGGGTGGGTACCCCCACCGGGACCCCCCATGGGCAGACCTCCCCCCCTGCAGCCTGAGCGGGTGCCAGCAGCTCTGGAGTCCGCGACCACACACCCCAGCAAAGCCAGGGCACACCGAGACCCCAAACCTCCCACCCACTCGAAGCAGTGCATTTCCACTGCCCAAGGCCGGGCTCAGCGATGCCCAGGGGTTGCATCTCAAGCAGATCCCCACGACCCTGGGCACAGGCAGGGACCCCACTGATGCTGCCTGCACCCCCCACACCCAGCGAGAGGGGCTCCCAGCCCAGTCTCACAAATCCTCTGCAGGCGACCGCTAGGACACCTCCTTCCCTCTCCCGGCAGGAACACAAAGGGAGAAGAGGCCTTTTAATTCCCTCCCGCTCCGCTTTTCCTGCCGTTTCTGCCTCACTTGGGGTTGGGAACAAGTTGCCATTTGTGTGTCCCAGCTGGCTGCTGGGAAGCAACCAACACACCCCGATCTCCGGGCTAAGGAGGCTCGAGTGGAGCCACCCAAGGGGCGCCTGTGCACCCAGAATCCCCCCAGCAAACCCATCTGCAGGCACCCCCAAGCCACACACCTGGGGTACAGCCAGCGACACGGCGGCAGGAGCGGGCTCCCAGCTCCCTCCATCTCACTTGCTTTTGCCCCCTGCGCAGACCCCCACCTGCCCCAGTGCCCCCTGATCTCTACCTGCCCTCGCCCACCTCTCCCTGCCCAGGGAGGGGCACAGGGGGTGCCCAGGGGGTGCCCGGGGGTGTGGGCAGGCTTGGGCCAGGGCTGTGCTGCTCTCCTCGGCCAGGCTTCGCTGCAGCATCCCTTCCAGCACTTTGAGGGGGGCCCCTGTCAGCACTTTGTCCCCCCAGTCAGCCATCTCAGCTCACTTTTGTCCTGCGGAGTTGCAGGCTCGCCTTCAAAGTGTCACCTCAGAGCCACAAAAGAGATGGTCCCACGGGAATATCACCCTCCTCTGGGTGTCCCCCCCATCCTCCCCCCTCCAAACTGCCCAGCTGCAGGACTCTGCTAAGGAGCAAACAGAAGGAAAATAAACAAAACCCCTGGCCGCTGCCCTCGTCGGCTATGGGACCAAATGAGCTCCATCGCGAGCCCAAACTGCTGAAAATGGCCAAAATGAGGCTGCTCCTGTCCCCTCCCAGCCACCCCAAGTGCTGCCCCTGCCTGCCTGCCCCCCAGACCCTGCCCAGTGCCCAAACTCTCCTGCGGCACCGGTCAAAACTGCCAGAGCAGTTGATCCGAGGCACCAGTAACTCCAGTCCAGGGAGGTGGGTGAAACTGGGATCTGTTGGGGCTGGAAGCCAGCCCACGCTGGGAGTTTTGCAGGGGCTGATTTTACAGCTCGATGTTGTGTCTCACTCCCGCGGCTCTGCCCGCAGGCTCTGTCCCCGCGGCTGGGGGCGAGCGGCCGCGGTGCCAGCACGGCCAGTACTTTGTGATTAACCCGCCCCCTGCCCTGCGCTGCGGGGCCAGCAGAGCCCTGTGCAGCGAGCCCAGCCCGGCCGGGGGGCTCAGCCCGGCCACTGCATCTGGCCTCTTTCATCTGCCCCAAAAT